TGAGCCCCAGAACGCCCACTGCCGGAGATGGTGGGGTCACGTGGGGTATCGGAGGGACCGGGGATGAAAGGGTCACGCGGGAGGCATGGGGGGGACAGTAGGGGAGGGGTTACCGAGGGACATATATAGGGAGACCGGAGCGGAGGGGTCCAGGGGGATGTGTGGGGTCAGGTTTGGAGAAGTTACGTGGGACGATGCGTGGGACCAAAAGCGAGGAGTCACGCAGGACTGTGGGTCGCGCGGGCGTGAATTGTAGGTGCGGAGAGGACTGTAGAAGTTCTAGAAATTCTTTCTTGGAAGCGCCGCAGGCTACGCCGGTGAGAGACCCTAGCTTGGGGCAGTTGAGACCTGCCCCGCGGCCTCACTTTACGCTGGAGTGCTGCTGGACCTCCGAGACCCTCAGGCCACAGAGCACCTAGGAGAGTAAAACATACTTTCTGCCTTGGGCCCTGGAGTACTCCCCGCTACTTCCGGGGCTAAACCCTGAGGATCAAATTTGAGATCAGCCTGGGCAATTTAGAGAAAAAGGCCAGTCTGAACTGCACAGCGAGACCCTGTCTCAAAATATAGTAATAATAATAATAATAATAAATTTATAAAATCTGAGGATGTATCCCAGGGACAGAGCAGTTTCCTAGCATGCCTGTTAAGCTCTGGGTTCAGTCCTCAGTACTGGGGAGTAAAATAAGCGACATGCTTTCATGAAAAGTTGACTGGGTTTATGAAAATTTAGCAACAACATAAAGGTGGCATTTCACATTGTGTGCGGTTACCCATTTATGCAAAGGTAAATTCCAAACACATTACAGATTAAATGCAGCAAAGAAACCATAAAAATCCTGGAGGAGAATTTGAAGAAGGCTTTGCTAAGTACCCAGAAACCTTGGAGGTGAGCTAGAGAAATCCAACTACCTGAAAGCTTTCTGCCGAGCAAACCAGGTGTGGTGGCCCATGCCTGTAATTCCAGCACTTGGAGGCAGAGGCAGGAGGATTGCCTGCAAATTCGAGGCCAACCTGGGCTACATAGTTCAAAGCAAGCCTGAACTGTATAGCAAGACCCTGTCTCAAGAAATAAAAGAAAAGAAAAAAGAATAAACTGGGCATGTTGGTATACAGATGTAAACTATGAGGGAAGATTTAAAAAAAAAATTTTTTTTTTGATACCAGGGATGGAACTTGGGACCTTGCGCTTGCAAGGCAGGCAGTGGAACTACTGAGCCCAGAAGACCAAAATTTTGAGCTACACAGCAAAACACTGCCTCAAAAAAAGAAAAAAAGAAAAAACTGCTCCAACTGATCAATAACACTACCAACTCTCACATGAAAAATTATCAAAGTTGAGCCGGGGATTTAGCTCAGCAGTTTGGTGGCCTGCCTTGCAAGCGCAAAGACCCGAGTTTAATCCCTGACCAAAAAAA